CTTCATTCCCCCTAAAATGTGTGACTGCCTACCTTGGTAGTTAGTCTTGATAGCTGATGTCTGCCTGTCTGGCAGGTGAAGAAAGAAGATAGCATGACCATTGCAGAAGTGAGGCAAGGAGGATGGGGAGTGGGAATGAGCTAGGTGTGATCTTTGGAAGTTACCATCAGACAACGTTGTACTGTGAGTAGCTCTGGCTGTAGATGGGCAGGAAGAGGTGATGGAGCAGTGGTTGTAGCTGTCAGCAGTTATGTGACTGTATAGATGGGAGTTGTCAAATGTACATCACTTATTGTAACGTTGTTGTCATTCACAACCAGCCACAGAGCAACAGCTACTGAGTTTAGCTCTTTTTCACTGTGCCCTTTAGTAAGAGGCAAGGCAGGGAGGGTTTCAGAGATGACTGTGCAGTTAGCTGTCTGAAAGAAATAATTTTGTACTTACCTGAATATTTTACTCTTTGTCTTAAGACAGTTAGAATCGTTAAAGTTGGAAAAGACCATCAAATCCAACCGTCAACCCAACACCACCATGCTAAACCATGTCCTGAAGTGCCACACCTACACGTTTTTGGAACACCTTCAGGGATGGTGACTCCACCACCTCTCTGGGCAGCCTCTTCCAATGCTTGACCGTTCTTTCAGTAAAGAAATTTTTCTTAATATCCAATCAAAACCTTCCCTGATGCAACTTGAGGCCATTTTCTCTTGTCCTATCACTTGTTACTGGAGAGAGCAACACCCAGCTCACTACAGCCTCTTGTCAGGCAGCTGTAGAGAGCAGTAAGGTCTGCCCTCAGCCTCCTCTTCTCCAGTCTAAACACCCCCAGTTCCCTCAGCCGCTCCTCTTAAGACTTGTGCTCCAGACCCCTCACCAGCTTTGTTGCTCTCCTCTGGACACACTCCAGCAACTCGATGTCCTTGCAGTGAGGGGCCCAAAACTGAACACAGTATTTAAGGTGCGGCCTCACCAGTGCTGAGTACAGGGGCACAATCACTTCCCTACTCCTGCTGGACACACTAATTTCTGATACAAGCCACGGTGCTGTTGGCCCTCTTGGCCACCTGGGCACACTGCTGGCTCATGTTTAGTCGGCTGTCAACCAGCACTGCGAGGTCCTTTTCTGTTGGGTAGTGGGGCATGGGCCGGTTTGGACTGAAGTCCAGGGCCCGGCACTTGGCCTTGTTAAACCTCTCGCAATTGACCTCAGCCCATGGATCCAGCCTGTCCAGCCTCCTCCAGAGCCTCCCTACCCTTGAGCAGATTGACACTCCCACCCAGTTTGGTGTCATCTGCAAACTTACTGAGGGTGCACTCAATCCCCTCATCCAGATCATTGATAGAGATACTACATAAAACCAGCCCCAACCCTGAGCCCTGAGAAACACTGCTTGTGACCGGCCATCAACTGGATATAACTCCATTCACCACAACTTTCTGGGCTTGGCCATCCAGCCAGTTTTTTACCCAGTGAAGAACTGAGTTTAGCTCTTTTTCACTGTGCCCTTTAGTAAGAGGCAAGGCAGGGAGGGTTTCAGAGATGACTGTGCAGTTAGCTGTCTGAAAGAAATAATTTTGTACTTACCTGAATATTTTACTCTTTGTCTTAAGACAGTTAGAATCGTTAAAGTTGGAAAAGACCATCAAATCCAACCGTCAACCCAACACCACCATGCTAAACCATGTCCTGAAGTGCCACACCTACACGTTTTTGGAACACCTTCAGGGATGGTGACTCCACCACCTCTCTGGGCAGCCTCTTCCAATGCTTGACCGTTCTTTCAGTAAAGAAATTTTTCTTAATATCCAATCAAAACCTTCCCTGATGCAACTTGAGGCCATTTTCTCTTGTCCTATCACTTGTTACTGGAGAGAGCAACACCCAGCTCACTACAGCCTCTTGTCAGGCAGCTGTAGAGAGCAGTAAGGTCTGCCCTCAGCCTCCTCTTCTCCAGTCTAAACACCCCCAGTTCCCTCAGCCGCTCCTCTTAAGACTTGTGCTCCAGACCCCTCACCAGCTTTGTTGCTCTCCTCTGGACACACTCCAGCAACTCGATGTCCTTGCAGTGAGGGGCCCAAAACTGAACACAGTATTTAAGGTGCGGCCTCACCAGTGCTGAGTACAGGGGCACAATCACTTCCCTACTCCTGCTGGACACACTAATTTCTGATACAAGCCACGGTGCTGTTGGCCCTCTTGGCCACCTGGGCACACTGCTGGCTCATGTTTAGTCGGCTGTCAACCAGCACTGCGAGGTCCTTTTCTGTTGGGCAGCTTTTCAGCCACTCTTCCCCAAGCCTGTAGTGTTGCATGGGGCTGTTGTGACTGAAGTGCAGGACCCGGCACTTGGCCTTGTTAAACCTCTCGCAATTGACCTCAGCCCATGGATCCAGCCTGTCCAGCCTCCTCCAGAGCCTCCCTACCCTTGAGCAGATTGACACTCCCACCCAGTTTGGTGTCATCTGCAAACTTACTGAGGGTGCACTCAATCCCCTCATCCAGATCATTGATAGAGATACTACATAAAACCAGCCCCAACCCTGAGCCCTGAGAAACACTGCTTGTGACCGGCCATCAACTGGATATAACTCCATTCACCACAACTTTCTGGGCTTGGCCATCCAGCCAGTTTTTTACCCAGTGAAGAGTACATCTGTCTAAGCCATGAGCAGCCAGCTTCTCTAGGAGAATGCTGTGGGAGTCAGTGTCAAAAATAGAGTTCCTCTCTATTTAATTTATACCTTGACAGGTTAGTATTTTTCATTACAAATACTCGAAGTAAGTATGTGACATTGACTAAAAACTTAAGTTTTGATATGTTTTTAAAAGTGGATTGGTGTAAAAAGTGCTTCAAAGAGACCCGATTCCTGATCAGTGCAAAGCTGGTGATTCACTAAGTGAGGATACACTGCCCCCTTCTCTCCTCCCCCC